TTTTCCTTTTCTTTTCTTTCTTCTTTTTTTCTTCTCTTTTTCTTTCTTTTCTTCTTTCTTTCTTTCTTTTCTTTCTTTCTTTTTCTTTCTCTCTCTCTCTCTCTCTCTCTCTCTCTCTCTCTCTCTCTCTCTCTCTTCCCCCCTCTTTCTCTCTCTCCCTCTCCCTCCCTCCCTTCCACTCTGTAAAAATCAACAGGAAAAATATCATCGGATGAGGATTAACAAAAATATAAAGAAGAACGTAAGTCTATACTGGTTTGAATCTATGAACACGTTGACAGTTTGGGAGGAATGGGATGTTTACATCCTCCCCAGTACCTCTCCCCAGAATACTTACTTGTTACAAAGGAAAACGAGTGGCTTTCTGGGAGAAGCCTGGAGGACGTCCCTCCATCAAGTGACCCAAGGGAACATCATTGCTTGTGGGTCACGTGGAATTCTCTGCCACCTGATTGGACGCAATGGAGGAGAACACAGACTCACTGCTGTGATGTTCTTGCCAAAGAGACTTGACCTTAATCTAATCACGAGGAACCACCAGAGAAACCTCAATTGAGGACATACCACAAAATAACTGGCCTGTAACCTTTGGGGGGTCAAGGTCATGCAAGCAAGGAAAGAGGGGGAAACGGCTCCAGAGCCAAGGAAGCGGGCAGGACAGCCAAGGTGCCGGAATCGGGAAAACCTGGATGCGGTCTGAAGACTCCATGGCAGAGAACTAAGAATGTTCCTTTCTTTTTGTTGTTGATTTCAGAGAGAGGCAGGGAGGGAGAGAGAGAGAGAGAGAGAAACCTCCATTTGTTGTTGCACTTACTGATGCATTCATTGGTTGCTTCCTGTATGTGCCCTGATTGAGGATGGAACTCACAGCCTTGGCTTTTCGGGGTGGTGCTCTAACCCACTGAGCCACCCGGCCAGGGCGGGAATGCTAAGTTCTTGACTCTGGTGGTTCTTGGAGCCTGATTCTGTGGAGGGCAGCTCAGCGGGAAGGAAACACACCCCACCGTGTCGGAGGTCACGGGGCCTCTGGGTGGCGCCATACAGTCCCATGATCAAGGAGAAGCAGTCTGTGCCACTTGGGAATTATTAAACAGCAGTGAGACGAAGCTTTCCCTGCCCGTGAGGGAACCTGTTTCAGCTGCCGCCGCTGGTCTTTCTGTGTTTACTTCCAGGCGTGTGTGGGAGGACAGGGTGCGCAAGGCTGGGCTTCTTTTGGTGCGGGTGGGAAGATAAAAGAGGGTGAGTGGGGGGAACCCCAAAGATCCTGTCCCTCAGGGACTCAGGGCTGTACCAGGGCCACAGGATTGCCCAGGTGGACACAAACCCCAGGGCACCGGGCTGGGGAAGCCGCTTGAGCCCAGAACCAAGACCACGGTTAGAGACCCGCCTCCACCTCCTTCGATCCCTGCAGCAGGCCGGGGAGGGGCTGTCCTTTGGGGATTGAGCCTCCACCCAAGCAGCCCAGGGATGCGGAGATAGAACTTGAACAAGGCAGGCAAGGCCCCTGCCCTCAAGGAGCGATGAATACATAAAATTACAGGATGCTAGGCCGTGATGCGTTCTAAGGAGAGAAAAAATGAAGGCAGTTAAGGCAGAATGAAAGATAGGTACTGGAATGAGCAATGGGCAGGATATCTGAGAGGCGGAAGTTTGCACGTGTGTGTGTGTGCGCGCGCGCACGCGTAATTTTGGCCACGCTGTGTTTGAAATGCCTTCCGCCAGGCTGGAGGCAGGAATTTGGGTACCTTGAGTACAACAATGATTTTGAAGCTATGACGGAGGTTGCTTCAGCAGGTCCAAGGGCAGGCACCTTCTCACAGTTAAGACCCTGTAGACTGGCTACCTCATCTGCCCAAAATGACATGGCTGGTGGGTGGTGGAGCTGGGATTTGAACCTGCCAAGCCTGTTTGCAGCTGCCACAGAGTCTTGCTGCCGTGGGGCTGTGGGCAGGTCGCTGGACCTTTCAGAGGTTTGGTTTCCTCACCCATCACAGGAGAGGTGGGCAGTGGAGGGGCAGGTGGAAGACGGGGGTGATGCAGGGGGCCAGTTGGTGCTCCGACAGGTACCCAGACGGGCCACCAGAATGGTTCTGGGTGTGCCCCTTGCCCCTTTCCCACCAGTCTCAGACCCCTGCTCTCATTGGAACAGTCAAGTCTTCCAGGAAGAGACGGGGCACCGGGTGAGACTGGTGCGCAGAGTCCAAGAACCAACATGTCACTCACTTTACGTGAGAGGCCACCCATCACCCTGCCTGGAATTTCAGGCTCAGCATGACCGGGGGGCCCTCCCTGTGGGCACAGGATCCCAGCAGGCAAACCCCTGCCAGGCGGTCGCTGGGCAAAACTGGGGTTGGAGGAAGGTCAGTTGGAGAGGGATGCAGGGTTGGTGGGACCAGGCGTGGTCTCTGGAGTGCTCTGGGCCCTGCTGGGGGACTGCAACAGGCCCGTGGCCTCAGCCAGCTCCTGGCAAGGGCACCGCTCCCGGGTCAGCGCCGGGCTGGGCTGGCACTCCTAAGGCTTCCGGGGCTGGCCAGGCCCTTCTGCTGACTAGCTGACTAGGTCTTTCTTTAGAGCTGTTACTATCTCGCTGCCTGTCCGGGCTTGGTGGGGCCCCACTGCCTCTGTGGCTTAGCACTTCCACTTTGGGGCAGCCGGTGGCTTCGAAGTGAAAATGCCAATGGCTCCTGTCACGTGGGGGCTGGGCAGGTGCCTGGCCGCACTACTTCCTGTCCCCCCTCCTTGCTGCCCTGCCAGCTGGCAGGAGGAGCCTCCAGCTGGCCACACTCTGTGGAAAGTCCAATTTGTTGTCTCCCCCGGAGGGCCACTCCCGGCTGTGCCCTCTGACCAGCTCAGCCCTGACCTCCCTGGGCACAGATCCCAGCAGGGACCCCCCCAAAGGCACTGAGCCTTCAGCATGGCTCCATGGAGGTCCTGAGCCCCAGCTCAGCTCTGCCTGCCCTGGGCCTCTCAGCTGAGGCTGGAAGAGCAGCCTGCAATGCAGGTGCTTGGGGAGGGCAGTCCCCCAGCCCAGAGCCTGGAGGAAGCGCTGCCTGGGTCTGCTCACTGCCCCCTGCCAAGCTGTGGGCCCCGCCTGCTCCCTTGAGAGTCACTGCCCAGAACGCGTAGCCTGGCACTGGGCAGTGACTAAACGGAGGTGCCAGCATCTTGAGACTCGGGGGCCTTTACAGGGCTGGGGTTTGGGTGCCAGCCCAGAGGCCATGGAGAGCACCGCTGTGCTAGGGCTGACTTTGGAAAGCTTGGCGTGTGGAGGCAACTGGCAGGCGGTCCAGGCTGCGAAGGGCTGCCCAGGCCCCGAGCCCCGGAGGGCCCACCCAGAGCTGTGGCAGCCCATTGGAGGCAGGTGTGCACCCCTCGCGTGGGCAGAGGCAGTCTCCGTGGGATGCAATTTGAGTATTTGGAGCCACGCACTAGGAAAATACTAGAGAGAAAGTTTAGTGATAAATCAGAAGCGAATAAAACCAAAGCCGTGGTGTGTTAGGTGTGTCTGCAGAGAGGAAAGTGACAAGGCGGATTCTGATGTCACAGATGGCCCGAGGCTGCGGGGTGAGAGCGGGAGGCCCAGAGCAATGGCCTGGGTCTGCTTTACCTGCGGGCTCCCCCCCCCCCCCCCCCGCCCGCCCCCCAAGTCAGCCTCCAGAGCAGAGCAGGGAAACAGGAGGGAGGGTGAGGGCGCAGGGAGGAGCTCTGGTTTTGAAGTTCAAGACCTGCTCCTGCCTCTGCTAGACAGGTACCCTCAGCAACACTGGGCCTCCGTCCGGCCTGTGGAGAGATACCAGCCCTCCGTCAAGAAGGAGGGCAGCCCCTGCGGGTGTTGGTGGGTCCATTCCCATGGCCATCCACCCTCCACTGGCCCATGCGATCTACTCTGTGCCAGGCCCCCAGGTGCGGGGCCCACCTGCCTGCCCTGCCCGGCTCCTCTGCAGGAGCTGCGTCGGGTTCCCTCAGTTCAGGAAGATGCCGTCTCTTTCCCCTCCCAGGGCCTTTGCACCAGTTGGTCCCCCATTTCCTATGGGCCCCGTTTTCCCGAACGTGCTCCCACCCCTTTAGGTCTCCGCTTCCCTGGGGACACCGTCCCAGCGTCTGCCAGCCTGTGGCCACCTCCGCTTCTCCCCGAGGTCTGCGGGGTTCGCTCGGGTACCAGCCCCAGCCCTGGCTGGCTGTTGGAGAGCTGGCCTAACCTCTCCGTGCCTCAGTTTCCCTGTGTGTAAACTGGGAACCACAAGGGTCCCAGCTCCTGGGGGTTGTAAGGAATGCATAGCAGGGCTAACGGCTGTGCACATGCTACTGTCATCATTTATTTTGTGGTCATTGTCATCGGACTGCGGGATCCCCAGGGCAGGGCTCCCCACGATGCTCCCCAGCGCAGCACCTGGTGCGAAGCACCGAGCCTCTTCCCAACCTGCCTAGGCACCTAGAGGGGCGCGCACGGTCGGTGCCGGCACTGCCCAGCTAGGAGGCAAGTGGCAATACCACTGCTTCAAGGAAAGCCGGACACACAGTAGGTGCTCACGACTCGGCTGGTTGACACCAGGAAGCCCGTGGCCCGATTCGTGCACGCTCCCTCCCTCCCTCCCACAGGACACGGTGGAATGCTGAGGCTGCCCACACGGACTTCAGGGCTGTATCTGCTTCTAACGACACCCATTTCCACAACAAAGAAGCTCGCCTCCGTGGGGCCACCTAGCCTCGGCGCACCCGGGAGGCGCCGTGGGAGCAGCGGACGAGGAGCCTGCGCCCCGCAGAGAAGCCCCCAGTGTTGGCCCGGGGGCTGTCCCGGTGGGTGAGGCGGCGCAGAGGGTCTGGGGGGCGGGGGTGCGAGAAAACCACGCAGCGAGGTGGCGCCCAAGGGGCGTGCGGCACCGACGCCTCCAGCCGCGATTTAAAGGGCAGCGAGCGGCGGAGGGATCCCTGCCGGCTGCGCAGCGCGGATCCCTCCGCGCGGAGGAGTGCGGCGGCCCGGTCCAACAAATTCGCTTTTTGTTCCTCCGCCGCGGGAGCAACCGGCGGGGACTCCTTTCTTCCTCGGGTTTCTCCGCCTCCCCCCGCAGAGTCCCGTAAAAGCAACAGAGGTGACTGGGGCGCGCGAGCCGGCTGGTGTCCTTCCGCCCGGCCGAGGGCACTCCTTTTCGTGTCTTCCCACCGTGCCCGGGCGGCGTCCGGGCGGCTCACCGGGGGCGGCGACGCGACTGCGGCGCGGTCGGCGAGGCTCCGGGGCTATGAGGTGAGGGCGCCCGGGTACAGGAGGTGGCAGCGCGGCGCCAGCCCCTGGGACACGAGCCTCGAAGCTGGCGGCGGCCTCTGGGACCCCGCGGCCGCGTGCGAGGCGAGGTGAGGCCTGCGGCGCGGGGGGCGCGGGGGCGCGGGGGCGCGGCGCGAGGCGCGATGGGGGCGGGGGGCTCGGCCGCGGCTGGGACTCATTTCTCGACAGCGGAGGGAGCGGGCGGTGCTGCGGTCGCGCCGCCATCTTGGATTTTACTCTCCATTTTTCTCTGGAATTATTTTTTGGTGATTAATTTTTGGGGGGGACGGGAAGTGTCGCCGGGCAGCGCGGGCCCCCCCCAGCGCAGCGGCCTGGCGAGGAGCCTCGACGCGCCCCGAGGAGCGGGCAGCGCCCGGCGGTGAGCGGGGCGGCGGCGCCGGGGCGGGCGGGGGGCGGGCCGCGGGGGCGCCGGGCCGGGCGGGGGCCGGGGCCGCGGGTGGGGCGCGGGGCCTGCAGTGGGCGCCGTCGCCGGAAGGGAGCGGTAGCGGCCGCCGGGCCGCGCGGGGCCGGGCCCGGCCGCACGAGGGGAGCGGCCCCGGCGCTCGCGATTGGGGGACTCTGTTTTCCCTCTGCTCCAATGGGCGGCCGGGAGCCGGCTCGCCCAATCTGCTCCCGCGGCCGCGCTCCACCTCGGGGTGTTTTTTGTTTGGACTCGAGCCTCCCGTCCGCTCTGCGCGCGGGCCGGCCCCCGCCCTCCCCGCCCCTCGGTGACAGCCGAGCGTCCCGGCTCCCGCGCCCCTCGGCCCGGACCCCGTTGCGCTTCGGCCGCTTCCCGCGCAGCCGGCCGGCGCCTCGGCCCCGAGAAGACGCGTGGGTCCCCCCGCGCCGTCCTTCCCCGTAGCCGCACGCGCTGTGTCCCGCGCCCCTCCCACCGCGAGGGGGAGGCGTGTGTTCAGGGGGACCGTCCTCCCCACCGGCCGGGGCGGCGTGGGAGCGCGCGGGACCCCGAGAACCGCGCTCGCTGCGTCCGGGACCTCGGGCCCCGCTCGAACTTCGCGTCCCCCGAGGGAGCGAACTCGCGGGTGCCGAGGGGGCGACGTGTGTTCTTTGAAGGCTCTTTTTTAGGACTTGCCGAAGGAAACTCACCCCGGGCGGGGGGGGTCTAGACCCAGGGGCAGAGGAACGGGTCGGTTGCGATTGCGATTTTCATCGGGACCTTTTTAGGTTTGAACCACGTGGACGTAAAGGGTCGCCACGCGTGGCCTTGTGGCCCCGGAGGCTGCTCGCTGTGTGGGGTCACCCGAGGAAACTTCCCCCTTGGATATTGAGGGCACGCCTGTGACTTGGGGCGATTAGTAGTAAAAGCACAAACGTGTTGGAAAGGAAGGGCGAAATCCCTGCGCGCGGTGCAGTGTCAGAGGGTTACTTGTGTCTAGAGTGGATGCGAGTTTACTTTGTAGCAGTTTGGGGCGTGGCCCTGTCATTGTTGGGGCTCCCCTATCTGTGTTCCGAGACTAAAGTCCACGAATGCTTTTAATCCCAGCGTGTGTGGGAACTCGGGCCCCGTGTTCAGTTTTTGATCTCTAAACCTCGTACCTTCTGCTCTCCCCTTCCTGAGCGCCAGCCCCGTGGGTGTCCGTGCCGGGCGTCTTTCCGGCCCGTCCGCCGCAGTCCTGCCCCCCCCCCCCCCCCTCGGTCACAGCGCTGACTGCGGGACAGTCAGCCTCCTGGTGACACCTCCTCCTGCTCACTCGGGTGCAGGGGCTGCTCACTCGGGAGAACGCACACTTCCTGTGTCCCTGAGCAGGGTTACATCGTGTTCTGGGCATTATTATATGTATTACGTTTGGTTTTTTACTTGTTTGGCTTCCTTGTGAGCTTGTTGCTACTTACCTCCGTTCAGGGGCAGGGACAGAAAAGGTGCTTATTCAGTAGACACTTGAAAGTGTTAAGTTTGTTAAGCTCCCAAGTTATCAAGTTCAGTAGTTTGTATTCAGTTTTTCAAGGTGTTGTTAAACATTGTTTTAATAACATCTTCTAATGTTATTAAGACATTGTTGTCATTAGCAGAACAACTTAGAGCGAAATGAATGTTACGGATATTTATTCTTTATGAGGGGAGTAGAGTAGGGCAGTTTTCACCCTTAAACTTGGAAGTTGAACTCTGTCATTTGCAAGTGCGCTCTTGCCTGTATGTTCATCTGTCTTCGGGTGCACACTGAATTGCTTATGCTTCGAACTCCCGGTGCTTGAGCCAGACACCAGTGGGCAGTACTGGGGGAGGTGGCTAGGCTGGGAGGGCGTCAGAATCAGCATGTGAAGGAAGTGGTTGCAGGTTGTTCGCACGCCTTTGAGCATAGAATTTTGTGGGTGGGGATGTTGGTTTGTAAATTTCCCCTGATCGTATCAGTCTGTCATTGAACCTGGTTTTTCTTTACATGAGTATCATTTTGTTAAAGGGCATGAGTATGTGGCCCAGTTGTGTTATAAAGACACATACTTGTGTGTGTAGCTTCTGAACAGCTCCCTGTCCACAGGAATGCCCTTCCCATGGCTTATGAGAGCAATCCTTTCAGATAAATCACATAGATTCCATTTTTTATACTTCCATTTTACTTTATTTTTTTATTCTTTATTGTTGAAAGTATTACATATGTCCCCCTTTCCCCCCCCATTGGCCCCCCCCCAGCCCACCCTGCCCCCTACCCCAGGCCTTTTACAACCCTATTGTCTGTGTCCATGGGTTATGCATATATGCACACATGCATACAAGGTCTTTGGTTGATTACCTCCCACCCACCCACCCTCCCCCGCCTTCCCTCTGAGATTCCACACTCTTCCCTGCTTCCATACTTCCATTATTTTATATGAACTTCACTTTCCACTCTCCAAAATCCTTCTCCAGGGCAAGAGTTACAGGACTCTGTTAGCCCTAGAACACTCCTAATTTTTGTCTTCTACACAGTATTAAAGACAAGGGCCATGTGTCTGTCCCACTGTGACACACTTGGTTACATAGATAAACTAAATGCAGGGAGAGAGCAGAGAGGGGTAGTTGTATCTCAGATACAGCTCTGTGCAATAGAAACAATTTTTAAAGTTTTCAACTTGATTTTTACTTTTTATTTGGGGGGGCTGGGGGAGAGTTATAAAAAGTTATTTTATTGACTCAGCTTGGTGTAGAAAATAGCTTTAATTGCTATAAAAACCACAAACTTAAATTAGTACAGGTAAAATGTAAAATTATCCAAAGTGCTTTTAAATTATAAGCATTAGGGAGTTCTAAACATTAGAACACAGTGATTTGGGAAGTCATGTTTTTGTTGGCTAGACTGCCAAATTTGAAATTTCAAAACATATACTTTATGTGAGGAGTGCTTAAGTTTGAAATGAGAATTAAACTGTGTAGTTTCAATGGCTGAGTTCCATTGACTCAACTATGCAAGGAAGGGGATCCCAAAATGAGGGAGTACTGCAGGGTTTTGTCTAAAGGACTTTTTAAAAAATATATATTTTTATTGATTTCAGAGAGGAAGGGAGAGGGATAGAGAGATAGAAACATCAATGATGAGAGAGAATCATCAATCGGCTGCCTCCTGCACGCCCCCCCACTGGGGATTGAGCCTGCAACCCAGGCATGTGCCCTGGCCGGAATCGAACCTGGGACCCTTCAGTCCGCAGGCCTACGCTCTATCCACTGAGCCTAACTGGCTAGGGCTCTAAAGGACTTTTAACAGGGGGGAAGTTAACAGTTTTCTTTAAATTATTTCTACCAATGCTATATCCCCACTCCCAAAAGGAAACCTCTACAAATCTGTTACTTTAGTAATTCCTTTTGTACCCCATAATTGGGTGTTTCTAGAAGTGTTGGCTGAGAGGAGAGGTCATGCCTGATCAATATCTAGCCCAGTATTTATTAATGTGATTGGGATTTCTTTTTGTTCTAGTTAAATTAAAGAACATTTTTTACCCACAAACATACCTTGTTTTATTCAGTAGACAGGTTCCCAAATTTTAGTCTTGCATATCTTCTTATATATTCACTAGAGACCCGGTGCACGAAATTCATGCACAGGTAGGGTCCCTGGGCCTGGCAGTTGATCAGGACCAATCAGAGCCTTCCAGCTGCCAGCCTGGGCCTTCCTTCATTTCGTGCCACCCCCTGGTGGTCAGCGCACGTCATAGTGAGTGATTGAACTCCTGGTCTCCCGGTTGAACTCCCAAGGGGACACTTTGCATATTAGCCTTTTATATATAGAGAGATTTATTTATTTATTATTTTTTTTAAATATATTTTTATTGATTTCAGAGAGGAAGGGAGAGGTAGAGAGAGAGAGAAACATCAGTGATGGGAGAGAACCATTGACAGGCTGCCTCCTGCACATCCCACACTGGGAATCGAGCCTGCAACCCAGGCATGTGCTCTGACCAGGAGTCAAACCTGGGACCCTTAGTCTACTGGCGGTTGCTCCATCCACTGACCCAAACTGGCTAGGGCTTGCACATCTTATTTTAAATGCATTCCCGGATTTTACTCTTTTAAAGGCATGCTGTAGAGAGAATCCATCTCTACAGGAAAGAATCATCACCTTATTTTTGTAATCCACATTAAGGTCAAATGTTAACTTTTTTTCCAATCCTCATCCGAGGATATTTTTTCCATTGATTTTCAGAGAGAGTGGAAGGGAGAGAAGGGGGTGGAGAGAGAGAGAGAGAGAGAGAGAGAGAGAGAGAGAGAGAGAGAGAGAGAGAGAGAAAGAGAAAGAGAAACATCATTGTGAGAGAGACACATCAGTTGGTTGCCTCCCCCACGCACCCAACCAGGGCCAGGGGTCAAACCTGCAATCGAAGTACATGCCCTTGACTGGGAATTAAAGCCTGAACCCTTTGTCCACAGGCTGATGTTCTAACCACTGGGAAAAACCAGCCAGGGCTAACGTTAGCTGTTGATCCTGGTACTGCTCAGAGGCAGTAAGTTAGTGTAGGTATATTATCTTTATATAGTTCCTGATGGAACCAGGAATCATTTACATTAACTGTAAAATATCTTTACAAAAGGGAAAATCAGTCACAGATTTTCATAATTATTGATGCTTTAAATTATGTTTTGCTTCATAATTTTTCTTTC